GGAGGAAGGGCGGGCTGAGAGTGGAAGGGTCCGAATGGAATTTTAGTCCCAGCACGGACCCTACTTAACTAGACACTGAGTCACTCTGGGCGCCCATTTCCTTACCTGTAAAAGGGATCAGAACTCTGCACTTTCTACGTGGGCACATGATGAGGAGACAATAAAACCTAACAGGTGTGAACAAAGTTAGGTCCCTATCGCAGCCCCCAGAAAGTATCGAGACCCTGACGACAGAGCATTCTCTAGGGACGCTCAGTGGCTCTCACGCCTACCCAGATGCAAGAAGGAGAGACTGTCTGTCTGTCTGTCTGCCCGGCACTTGTACAAGGGGCTCCTCCCCAGAGGGTACAAACCCGGACTCAGCTGGACAGAGTGGTGGCAATCACAGGTCCTAATTTTTTCCAGAAAGTCACACTTTTACGTCATTTCATTAGAGGTTAGTCATTAAAAGTATAACTAGCTACCTTTGTGACTTTGTAAGACTGCTGGCATACATGGATGCAGCCATGAGAAACGGGCCACCTTCGCCCCACACACACAACCTGCCCCAGACAATCTCCATCCCAACGTCCCTGCTCGCCACAGCAACGGGCTCAGCACCTACCCACTCTGGCTGCTCGCTGGGTTCTCCTTGTTTGTGGTCAGGGTCCACAGGGGGCGGAAAGTAATCCTTAACAGGAGTGGTGAATTCCACGGGGCCTGTCCCCGGCAGGGGAAGCTTCAGCAGCGGGTAGCTGGGAGGAATAAAAAGGAGAGAGGGTTAGACCTCATGAGCATTTTGTAGTCTTTTCTGATGCACCATTTAGACACTGAGGAATGACCTGACAGGGTTGCAGATGCAGACTTCTCCAGTGTTCCCTGCACTTTAGGATTCTGTTCCCAATTCCCAGCCATTCTGACAACCCCAAATCCTGACTTCTGCTTACTCAACCCATTAGCCCTTCCTCCTTCATTGGGATTGGCAAATATCCTCAAGGAAAAGGCGAGTGTTAGTGCAGAAGTCACCACATGTGTGCTGCCCTTACGAATAGTGGCTCCTCAAGTCTTGGGTTTTTTACTTGATCTTAATCTTTGCCACTTATTTTTGGTTGGCTTGCTTTGTTGTTTCTGGCAAGTTTTAATCCAACACACATTTATTCCAATAGGGTTAGAACTTAAGTCCTCCCTTTAATCTCCAATTCTTTTAACTAGTTTTTTATTTTGTCTTGTTTTTTCACTCTCCAACCAACTTCATCAATATCAAGTGAAATTCAATAGGGAAGTGAAATTCTCCTATTAAAGCAAATAAATGGGAAAGGCAACTACAGATTAACTAAAACTTACATAAATTTTACTGCTCAAAAAAAAAATTTTACTACTCCAAACACTTTGTATCTATATTACCATGTTTTTATGCAAACAGCCCAGGCCTCCTGCATTTATTTGCTGGGAGTGCACTTCCTTTCGCAAAGTATTTTCATAGGTGCCACAGAACAGGAAAACGAGCAAAGCATACTAGCAAAGGTGGAGGACACAGCCAGCAAACAAACCCATAAGGCATGCATTAGTTAAAGTTTACTGTGCCAACCTGGCCAATAAACACATGTGGGGTTGGTTAATTGAAGGGCGGAGGGATAAATGGCTCAGTGAGCCTCGTCTTTCTAATTCTCGGGTCTCTTGCTTTCTGGTGGTCGGACCAGGGTGCAGCAGCCTTAGCCAGTTCCCTGCTTCATCTGGCAAGGCTCACTTCCTTGAAGACATCCCTGAGGGGAAACCACATGGACCTACCCCGATGCAGCCTGGGTGCTGGAGCAGCCGTGTGGAGACCCCTGCCAGCGCTGAGATGTTTACATGTTCACTGATTCGGCTTTCCTCCTGAAGTCAGCATTATTGCGTGTGTTTTGTGAGATGGAGGAGGACTCTGTGGAGTACTGTCGGACATATGGGCTAATGTTGGACTTGTGGGCTTGGGCAGGACTGGGTTGGGATGTTTTCTTGATGTGCACTTACCCTTTATATAAAACTCTTTCTTATACATGAGTTTCTGTGGATTTGTTTCTCTAATGTACCCAGACTAACACATAGTTAAAATATTGTATACACACTAACTTTTAAAATCCTCAATAACGCTATAAGGTACATAAATAGTCTATCAATATTATACACAGGAAACTGAAATACAGAAGTACATTGCCCACAATCAC